CGCCGTCGAGCTAGGGGGGCATGGTTTCAGCAACCAGCCCCCGCCTCTTTGCCCATTTTCGATTATCTGGGAGTGACGTGCGGTGACGCGCTGCCAAGATGGCGACAGCCGGCTCCGCCTACTTTAGGGTTCAGAAACGCTCTTCGGAAACCTACAGGTTACGTCATGGACATTATGTCCATGTTGTTATACAGTCTATGCTTTCCACCCACGGCGTCGTTATTGTGTTTTCGCAAGCGACAACAGTGTAGCAGTTCTAATGCCATGGTTCGGATGTGTGCTCTCAGAAAACCGTATATAAGAAGTTTAAACTTCTATGGTTTAAAACGCATGATTTCAGCGCGATAAACATGAAAATTAGAACCAATCAGATGTTTCTTAGCAGGTTCGAGCTGTAATGGCACAGCTCTATTCTGGAAAAGGGGGCGGGGAGCAGCAGCTCATTTGCATTTAAAGAGACAGGCCCGAAAAACAGTGTGTTTCTGCTTCCACTCAAAATAGGCATTTTCAAAATGATATAATAAATGATCTGTCGAGTATTTTGAGCTGAAACTTCACATACACATTCTGGGGACACCAAAGACTTATATTACATATTGTAAAAAGTGGCATAATGTGTCTCCTTTAACGTCAAATATAGCCAGCACATGTAGGGCTTAGAGGTCTGCTACCGGACCTGAGCCCGACGGGTCCCGAAATACTTTCGGGTTTCGGGTCGGGTTCGTGTTAATGTTAAATGAATAGCTTCTGGTTCAGGTTTATAGCTAAACTAAAACTATATGCAGGCTACGCTGCTTTCATAGACGCACGCACACACAATATTATACACGACAACACAGCACGGTAACTATTATTAGTAAAATAGCTTCGACAGGCTACTGACTCGCAGCGTTATATTTCTCTGCAATGAGGGGTAAAATCGCTGTTTTTGAAGGAACTAAACCTCATTGCTTGTAGAGAGAGACGCGCAGACGCAGGTTCACACACACAACTTTCATCTCTCTCTCTATCTCTATCGCTAATTCAAAAATTAATGTAAAAACTAAAATGAATTGTAAAACTGAAAGTATTTTTTTAAATTGTGTTCAGCACGGTGGGCCGAATTTGAATTCGTGACGGGCCGCGGGTTGAGAACCACTGGCTTATACTGACCGTTGCATCCAATCGTGAAATACAGCATTTTTTTTTTAAATTGGCTATTGTTGTGGGAAAAAAACAAAAAAAGATTTCGGTTTCGGGCTCTAAATTTAACTGTGCCGCTCGGGTCGGGTCAGACGTCTGTAGCTAACTCAGTGGTGCGTAACAGAAGACCACAGATGATGCGACCCACTGGCTCCCGCAGCTCCTACCTGGTGCTCAGCGGCCAAAACCTGGACCTGGAGTGCATTGTTCAGGGCCTGTAAGTCAAACCTGCTCTGACTGTGTGTCTTTGAGAGTTACTTCCTTGAAAAGTGTCCAGTATGTTTACATCCTTCTCTCTTACTCACTAGCCCCTCTCCCAATATCCAGTGGATCAGGAAAGATGGAGTCCTGTCTGAGTCCCGCACATCCAAAGATAGTTATGATCGAGTTCTGCGCTTTAAGAATATCTCAGAGTCTGACAGCGGCGAGTACCAGTGTACCGCCACAAATCTGCAAGGCATAATCACTCACACCTACAGCGTCACTGTAGAAGGTACTGTATGCTTCACACTGCCAGATCACATCCTCTCCAGATTTAGATTTAGATGTGGGGTGTGAACTTGCGAACATCTATGGGAGGATGACTTCAAAAACAAAAAAACTTAAAATTAAACTGAACAATCTCAGGCAAGAGTTACAGTGTGAACTTATTAGTGTATTATTGCTTGGTAAAAGCTTTTTTAGTTAGTTTAGTTTATTGTCCTTTCGGAAATTCTTTTTGTATCTGTGGCAACTCTTCAGTGATCAACAACAATAATTAACAATACAAACATCAACAGGTTACAACACATCACAAATAAATACAACCAGCATCAAACAGCATCCCTCTCACAACAACAGAATCACTGTCATAGATGTAAAATGACAACTGTGATATCACAAAAATTTATTTAACAGCGCTATATTGGATTATATAAAAGATCTTTGTGCACGGGCAGTCCGTAATAATGGTACCCTGTACCTTCGACCAGATGGTAATAACTCATATTCACCACAAAGAGGATGAGATGCATCGTGAAGAATTGTATGGCTTTTCCTCACAGCTCGAGATTCACATAGTTTTATCAGACTATGGTGTTGTTTACCTGCAATCTTACTAGCCATGTTAACAATTTAATTTTCTCCTGAAGTGCCTTGAAACAGGCACCGTTATTCTATGTGGTGACAATTTCAACTGAAACAGGAAGACAGGGCGAGACTTATCGAGCAGCCCCGCCCCCTTTTTAAATTAGCCAATAGCATTTTGTTTATATCTGCACGGGTCAGAGCCGTTGGGCTCGGTAAGCCGCATTTGACAGCCACAGTCTAATAGATTACCCCTAGATTCAATATTAAACTCGCAGTAAAACAAAATAGTGATCATAATCATGCTGAGGCTGTGTAGTTTTAAAAGTGTTTAATATATGCCGACTCGCGCATATGATCCGCTCCGTGCGATCTGTATTTTCATCCCGGCCCGGGACGATAGACTTGATATCATTACGTCATCGCGAATGACGTCATTACGTTAGGGCGTAAAAGAACCGATGAACCGTTTTTTTGAACCGGTTCATTGAAACGAACTGTCCGAAAGAACCGGTTCGCGGAAAAGAACCGGACTTCCCATCACTATCGCTCATATGATCCGCTCTGTGCGATCTCAGCCACCGCTTCAACTTATAGTGTAGGGGGCGGGCGCTTCGGCTTCTAGAGAGCGTTTGATTGGTCAGAAGATTTGATGAGAAGATGTACCTTGTGAAGTAAAAAAAAAATCGTTGAGCCGTTTTGGCGGAAGTGACAAACTAAAAGCTTTGAATGCTTATATCTTCTAAATGCTAATTTTGTCACTGTTTTGGAGCACACTGTCTTATAAATAACCTTAAGACTAATATATTGATACTAACATTTAGATTTTTAGAATTTTGATTTCATGGGGACTTTAAAAAAAAAATGTGCCTGCGATGCGAAAAAATGCAGTTTCACATACATACCAAATCATAAACGCCTTAAGAACATGCTATAAATGTCTATTTGACATGCAGTTTTGTTTTGAGATGGCACATGAGCTAACGACCCAATAAACAGCATACATCTTCCACATGAAAACGCGTATATCAAAACAGCGCGAGGCGAACCTCAAGGGATTGCACCCTGAATATTTCCTAAAGAAATTCCTTTAAAGGTCGATTGCTTGCCTGCCTCCACCTTCTGGGTCAGAGGTCTACGGTATAAAGCAAACTAGCAAAGCTGAGCTGGGGAGGAGTCGAGTTCCGCTACACAGGCGCGCGTTCGAACATCAGAACATATTTGCATGTAGACTACGTGTATCATGTCTACAACTATGACTACGAGCAGCTCACAGTTTAAGGAATAGCGCTTTTTGAACTCGAATAAGAAGATATTAGACTTTGCAATCACCATTTCACTAATTCTACAGATTTTTTGTATAATATACTGTGTCGTCGAGAGATTGCTTCTGATTTGCCCCAGGGATTCAATAAAACCGGATTCTTTGTGGTGTTAAGCAGTATCAAACTGGTAAGACTTTCTTTCACGCGCTTTGCAATTTTTGTTTTTTGAAAGATTAATCAGCTATTACGTTAACATACGATTTCTTGCATAACTACCACATGGCTCTTTATAAGTGTTTGCTGCCTTGAAATCTGTTGTTCAAAACGATCTGTACAAAAATGATCACGTGCAGTTTATGAATGCAACCTTGAATGCATTGTTAGATTTGTAGTTTGCACTTTCTTTGTTTAACATATCCAAGAATGCAGTCTTGATTATATGAGCAGCTGGAGCACGTTGCCATCTATATCACATTACAGCTCCTTGAGATTTGTTTTGCACGCCATGTTTCACGTTTTTGGTCGCGTAGTCATAAGAATGTTTACTGTATATGCGATTAGATTAGTTATGAGATAATGGGGATAAAGAAGCTGCTGCCACCAAGAATTCTGTGAAATGGCACGGAAGTGGGTTAAATGGGGGGGGGGTTTCTATCCCCCTCCTTCTCAGTATTTATCTTGTGGAGAAACAGTGACACATCTGTGCAACAACTGTAATTTAATTTACTGTGGTCTTTCTGTACACAAATGAATTGTTTACTTTACTGTGGTCTTTCTATACACACACGAATTAGGTTTAATCGAAGATGGTATTTAGGGACCACCTGAAGTCTCCAAGCGATCAATTGCTGATTAGACCGTGTATTTTAGATGGGAGTTATGTGATGTGTTTGAGTTAAAACAGCTAAAACACTCACTTACATCTGTAAGCCACTTACCAAATATCATCTGAAATACCATACCCCACAGCCATGTCCCTTGGGCTCCTTATCCCACTGTTTTGAGGTGGTCCTCTAAAAATAGCCCTTTTGCCATTCTTAGCAACAGGAGAGAGTAACATGCTGGGGAACTGAAAGAGATCTTTTTGTGCAGGTCATTTTCAACAGACACTGTGTCAAATGCTCCATCTTGATTAAATCACCTTTTATTTATTTTTTATTTATTTTAAGTTCTTATGTTGTTTAAACATAATGCAAAAGGGAGCACTTGATGTCCAACCAAAAAGTCACCCACAACTGTCAGGACTTGTTCTTCAATTCATAGTTGAAGAGGTTTGTTAAATGGTCAAGTTAGTAATATGAGAGAAGTGAGACTTCATTAGTCAGGTTTATAAACCTTCCCACAAGAACTGAAGCATGTGTGTGGAATTTGGCTGAGATTGAAGAAGACAGCCCAGTGTCTCACACTCACTTGTTTTTTCAGACACGATGGAACTTTGTGTAGCTGCAGTGCTTTTGTCCTACTTCGCTCCAGCTTTGGGTGAGTGCTGTTGTTTTTGCTTTTTTATTGGCACATTCTCTACTATACTCTGAGATTTCTTTTTTTAATGTAAAGTAGAAATCTTCTTAATTTGTTCAAGAATGTAATTAGAACAAAAAAAAGTATTTGTCCTGCACAGACTCTTCTTTAGAGATTAACGGTATATGTGTATGCATGCAGGATCAGCTTTTGGCAGGGAAATGCCAGGTAAGTGTGTAGAGGCTTAGAGGGACTGCTATGTGAGTGATTAAAAAAAGCTGAATTTCAAGTTTTTCTATGCTTCTGTCTGACGTTGATTTGTATCAAGGCTTTTTCTGTTTGTTATCGTTTTATAAAACTTGGCTGCCATTGCACTTGACTGCTTTTCTGAAATACTGGAGCAGATGGTGTAGTTTTGGCTTTGCGTGTTTTTGGCAAATTTTCTCAAACCGGTTCCAACGTGTCTCATTTCTGCTTACGAATATACCTTTCCCTGAAGCGTTTTTCTGAAACGCTTGTGAAGTAACACTACTCTCACACCACAAGGCTTGAGACTTTCAAGTGTGCCAGTGCAGCTCATGCTGTACCTAACCTTGGGTATACAGTTCTGCTACTCCATTTGGAGAAAGTTTTGACAGGATGAGACTTGATTGACCTCAGAGATTTTAAGTATTGCTGCTGTAATGTTTTCTGTTGAGATTTGTCCACTTGTAAAAGTTTCAGTACTGTAAATCTAGCTGATCCATTTAATTTCTGGGAGAATTTCTGCATTCTCAGACTCTTTGTGTGCGTTTGTGTGTTGTTGCCAACACAAACATTTGAATGCACCATTTAAGCACTCCAACACTGTCGGACTGTGCAGTGTGCACTCAAGTAAATACTACACACATAAACGTACATGAGCAGCATTAAATAATGTTTTTGTACACAGGAATGTTAAAGTGTTTGCATCAATGCTTTGTCCATTGTTTTTGGAAGAGATGGAGGGAGAGTGAGCGAGAGATCATTATGGATGACCAAAGTCTTACAGTCAGGCCATTCATAATGTTTAATGGGAGATTTGGAGCGATGCCTTCTACATTCTTGTTTACAAAGAGAAGCCCCTCTGAAAAGACTTATTAAAAACACGTAGGGTTATTATTCCACTGATAAATTTGTGGCATAAAATGGTGTCACATATTCTAAAGTAACATTTCTGCCAAATGTCTGTTTAATACTAATAAAAAGTATTTGAAAAGAACTTGTCAAAATATTAGAATTAATGTTTTGTTCTTTGAGATGAATTCCTAAAATAACCTTCCTGTGTAATGTAAATCTCATACTGAGCTTTAAATTCACATTAAGTTGATCTGGCATAATGAAAAGAAGCTATTCATGTTGGCTGTCACAGTGTGAGCATTTCTTTTGTTTCGTTCATGCTTGTGCACATGGTTTTTGAAGATATTGCCATATTTTAGATTTTTTTTTTTTTTATGGCTGTATGTGTGTCTGTGTCCAAACACATTTACTGTTGAAATGTAGTGTGCAACCGTAGTGTGCAACCATAGTGTACATTTAACATTGTAGTGCACTGCAATACTTTTGTGCCAGCTTTATATTAAGTAGTTTAAGAATCACTGCAAGTTCTATATTAATTTAATTCGACTGCACTTTATGATTCTTCTCCTCTGAAGGGGATAAAGAAGCTGCTGCCACCAAGAATTCTGTGAAATGGCACGGAAGTGGGTTAAATGGGGGGGGGGTTTCTATCCCCCTCCTTCTCAGTATTTATCTTGTGGAGAAACAGTGACACATCTGTGCAACAACTGTAATTTAATTTACTGTGGTCTTTCTGTACACAAATGAATTGTTTACTTTACTGTGGTCTTTCTATACACACACGAATTAGGTTTAATCGAAGATGGTATTTAGGGACCACCTGAAGTCTCCAAGCGATCAATTGCTGATTAGACCGTGTATTTTAGATGGGAGTTATGTGATGTGTTTGAGTTAAAACAGCTAAAACACTCACTTACATCTGTAAGCCACTTACCAAATATCATCTGAAATACCATACCCCACAGCCATGTCCCTTGGGCTCCTTATCCCACTGTTTTGAGGTGGTCCTCTAAAAATAGCCCTTTTGCCATTCTTAGCAACAGGAGAGAGTAACATGCTGGGGAACTGAAAGAGATCTTTTTGTGCAGGTCATTTTCAACAGACACTGTGTCAAATGCTCCATCTTGATTAAATCACCTTTTATTTATTTTTTATTTATTTTAAGTTCTTATGTTGTTTAAACATAATGCAAAAGGGAGCACTTGATGTCCAACCAAAAAGTCACCCACAACTGTCAGGACTTGTTCTTCAATTCATAGTTGAAGAGGTTTGTTAAATGGTCAAGTTAGTAATATGAGAGAAGTGAGACTTCATTAGTCAGGTTTATAAACCTTCCCACAAGAACTGAAGCATGTGTGTGGAATTTGGCTGAGATTGAAGAAGACAGCCCAGTGTCTCACACTCACTTGTTTTTTCAGACACGATGGAACTTTGTGTAGCTGCAGTGCTTTTGTCCTACTTCGCTCCAGCTTTGGGTGAGTGCTGTTGTTTTTGCTTTTTTATTGGCACATTCTCTACTATACTCTGAGATTTCTTTTTTTAATGTAAAGTAGAAATCTTCTTAATTTGTTCAAGAATGTAATTAGAACAAAAAAAAGTATTTGTCCTGCACAGACTCTTCTTTAGAGATTAACGGTATATGTGTATGCATGCAGGATCAGCTTTTGGCAGGGAAATGCCAGGTAAGTGTGTAGAGGCTTAGAGGGACTGCTATGTGAGTGATTAAAAAAAGCTGAATTTCAAGTTTTTCTATGCTTCTGTCTGACGTTGATTTGTATCAAGGCTTTTTCTGTTTGTTATCGTTTTATAAAACTTGGCTGCCATTGCACTTGACTGCTTTTCTGAAATACTGGAGCAGATGGTGTAGTTTTGGCTTTGCGTGTTTTTGGCAAATTTTCTCAAACCGGTTCCAACGTGTCTCATTTCTGCTTACGAATATACCTTTCCCTGAAGCGTTTTTCTGAAACGCTTGTGAAGTAACACTACTCTCACACCACAAGGCTTGAGACTTTCAAGTGTGCCAGTGCAGCTCATGCTGTACCTAACCTTGGGTATACAGTTCTGCTACTCCATTTGGAGAAAGTTTTGACAGGATGAGACTTGATTGACCTCAGAGATTTTAAGTATTGCTGCTGTAATGTTTTCTGTTGAGATTTGTCCACTTGTAAAAGTTTCAGTACTGTAAATCTAGCTGATCCATTTAATTTCTGGGAGAATTTCTGCATTCTCAGACTCTTTGTGTGCGTTTGTGTGTTGTTGCCAACACAAACATTTGAATGCACCATTTAAGCACTCCAACACTGTCGGACTGTGCAGTGTGCACTCAAGTAAATACTACACACATAAACGTACATGAGCAGCATTAAATAATGTTTTTGTACACAGGAATGTTAAAGTGTTTGCATCAATGCTTTGTCCATTGTTTTTGGAAGAGATGGAGGGAGAGTGAGCGAGAGATCATTATGGATGACCAAAGTCTTACAGTCAGGCCATTCATAATGTTTAATGGGAGATTTGGAGCGATGCCTTCTACATTCTTGTTTACAAAGAGAAGCCCCTCTGAAAAGACTTATTAAAAACACGTAGGGTTATTATTCCACTGATAAATTTGTGGCATAAAATGGTGTCACATATTCTAAAGTAACATTTCTGCCAAATGTCTGTTTAATACTAATAAAAAGTATTTGAAAAGAACTTGTCAAAATATTAGAATTAATGTTTTGTTCTTTGAGATGAATTCCTAAAATAACCTTCCTGTGTAATGTAAATCTCATACTGAGCTTTAAATTCACATTAAGTTGATCTGGCATAATGAAAAGAAGCTATTCATGTTGGCTGTCACAGTGTGAGCATTTCTTTTGTTTCGTTCATGCTTGTGCACATGGTTTTTGAAGATATTGCCATATTTTAGATTTTTTTTTTTTTTTATGGCTGTATGTGTGTCTGTGTCCAAACACATTTACTGTTGAAATGTAGTGTGCAACCGTAGTGTGCAACCATAGTGTACATTTAACATTGTAGTGCACTGCAATACTTTTGTGCCAGCTTTATATTAAGTAGTTTAAGAATCACTGCAAGTTCTATATTAATTTAATTCGACTGCACTTTATGATTCTTCTCCTCTGAAAGCACTTATACATAGAATCTAATATTGCTCTGTCTGTAATAGTTTGGCTGGCATAAACTTGACGTTTTTGCTGGGTTAGATTTAAATTGTAACACTCTTTCTCTCCCTCAGCTTCCCAAATGGATGAAATTCATGGTAAGTGTCTTCTAGTCTAGAATCAGTTTTACATTAACTGAACGTCTTATTGGCTTATTAACAGTGTTTTTAGCCAGGCTAGACCAGGTTTAATGTATGTTTGAAACTATAAGCTTTTAGTTCACAGCAGGTGTGAAAAAATGTACAAATGTTTATGGAGTCACCAGTCAGAAAGCTTATCCTCGTATGGTACATTCCATACAGTATCAGTTTGTCCATAGCATTCTGTATTTGAGAAATGGCTTGCAGATATGAAGAGAATATTAGAGATTTTTTTTTCTTTTTATTGGCACTAGAATGTTGTCATTAGCATCTTAAATTCTCTTAACATTTTACATTTTGATTGCTCCCAGACAACAGCTTTGCAGAGTTTTGATTCTAGACATTTTCATTTTTTTTCTCCCACCAGAGTACGACAAGCCATTTCATTATGGTGAGTACAGATGGACTATAGCTGCTTAGGCAGTATACATACTTATATGGATTAAGGAAATCACTTGGTTGACTTCATGAAGCTGAAAGGGGGGGAAAAATGCTTGTATGCAAAACATAGCGATTACTCTGAGGCATTTGTGTTTCTCAATGTATTTTGAGTGTAGTCATATTATTATGGGAGTTACAACTGCACTCTGATGTTTCCCATAGTGTGGCGAGCACTGTTGTTTTAAGAAGGGCTTTCAGGGCCAAAGTGCATCACCCTCCTCAGGAAACATCTGGGAAGTCAGAGAGATTTGCGTTTCCCCCACTGTTTTTCCAAAATAGATGGAAAATATTCACCCCAGGACTAAGCTTCGGTAAAACACATACGTTTGAATCTTATCTACCCCAGAATTTCCCAAATTTACTTTTTATTTTTATTTGTTTATTGTCCATTGGATTATATATAATCTGTCACATTTACAATTAAAAGCACAATGCAGACCCCTACTTCGAAATCAAACTACTAAGTACACATGGGAGTTTAGTGGTTCCAGACTGTCTCGGGGAAAGTCATTCTTCAGCTATTTTCATTGTGCTTAGTAGATTTGTTTGTGCATGTTGTGTTGACCTTAACACTCATAAGCAGGACCAACTAGAATCTGCAGAACTTTTCACATTTTCTGTGCTGATTTTAGGGGAAAATCTGTCATAATTTATTATATGGAAGTACAATAGACACTTGGGAGTTTAAAGCCTAACCAATAAGCCAAAATACTAGTAAACAAATGGGTGGGGTGTAGAACTTTGTGAATGAGTTCCAATTCTACAGATTCTGTGTGCACCTGATACAGAAGGGCTGTTTTGTTTGTGAATATGTAATTTGTGTATTGTTTTTACCACAAATAACATTTTCGTTAAAAATTTTAAGCTTCTGTGGATTGTTTCCCATTTGAATCTTGTGTCATTAACTAATAAAAAGAAAACATGCATCACTCCTGCATCTGTACATGTTCTTCTGAACCCTCTGTCCAGATTATGAATCTCTGAGGATCGGTGGTATGATCTTTGCTGTGATCCTCTTCTTGATGGGGATCTTCCTCATTGTCAGTGAGTGTCAAACTATCCGTGTACTGCTCTCAGAAAGAGAGCATCCTACCTAAGAGCTATCATACATTTGTATAGTACTTGCCATCAAATTTCTAGAATATTTTTGTAGATATAACCTAAGAATGTATCCACACATGCAGATAAACAAATATCAGTTACTGAGGGTAGACTGGTTGCAGGCTAGCGTGTCTTTCATACCCTCTAAGTTTAAACCTCTCTACGACACCCAACACCGCACCATGATTTATGGCGTTCCACCAGTACAGGGTAAAGCAGCCAGTCTAACCTTTGACACTTTGACAACTCCCACCAATCCACATAAATTACTAATGAGAAACCCTGACGTTATATAGACCATATGAGTTTGATCACAACAGGGGTGTTTAAGGACAGTTGTTTGTTTTTTGTGTACCCATGTAATTTCTTCATGTGTATCTCTAAAACACCATGTGCTTCTGAATGCATTTTTCTTGTATATTACAATAAACCACCAATGGTTTTGATCAAATTTCCGGCTTGTTTCTAATAGGTCGGAAATGCCGCTGCAAAGGGAACAAGTCAAAGTAAGTGGCGAAGAAAACAGTCATGTATTTTGTTCTATGAGAATATTCAGGCACATTTTCGCAGGCAAAATCCAGTCATTTCAATCCATGCGATCAGGAATTTCACGTTATATAGAAAGATTTCACCATCCAGATTGCACAACAGGTTTAATTTGGTCATGCGGATTTGGCACATTGAGCAACAGAAATCTGCTTGCTTTGACAATGACTTCTGTGTGATCTGTGCTTGATACAACGCTGTACTATTGACAACAGACAATTGACCCTTTTTGCCACAGATTTTTTTTATAATGTGACTGCATCTGTTCCAATGGTGCAACTAGACCAGGGGTAGGCAAGTTCGGTCCTAGAGAGCCGCAGTCCTGCAGAGTTCAGCTCCAACCCTGAAAACAAAACTCACCTGCCTATAGCCTTAGTAATCCTGAAGACATTGATTAGCTTGTTCAGGTGTGTTTGATTAGGGTTGGAGCTGAACTCTG